ATAACCAATGTAACTGAAATTATTAGTAATACAGAATATAATTGAAGAAATAATAAAAAATAAAAGATCATGAAATGTCTATGAAACTTAGATTGGTAACTTTGAACTTTATTTACCTCTAATAACACAAAAAAAGAATAAAAACTTGACTTAATTCATGATTCAGGAGGTGGAGAAAGACAAAAATGGTGGGAGTCTTTAAATGAATATTTTTAAAGACATAATGTTGCTAAGTACACATACAAACATTATTTTTTTAAAGATTACTTAATATTATTTGTGCTATTATGCAAATCTGTTTCATTTAAAGTTTTTTTTTAAATCATAGGTTTATGAAGAAAATGCAAAATGTACCTGCAATTCTAGAATCACCCAGAAACTAAATATGCCTAAAGCTGGTGAATGACAGTTTTTAAATGTAAATATGTTTATTTATTTTTTTGGTTTATTGACTAAAACTGGTACAAAATGTTCACTATTTGTGCCTCCAAAGACCAGCAGAGATATTACAGTACACATATTTTTTTTTACATTTAGGCTGTGTTCACATGACAGCAGTGACCTGAAAACAGAAGTTTTTCCATTACATTAAAAATGATTTTTGCTTTTGACAAATGTCAAACTATGTGTCTGCATGTGTTATGCATGACAGACCAGTATGTGATCAAACTGACATTGCAATTGAACTGCATTGAAAGTTGTTGTTGAAAATGTTGCTTAAAAATTTAAATGTAAAGTCACAATTAAAGAAATTGAATAATTATAATAAGGTCAAATACCTATTATTTACAGTTTTATTTTTTATTTTTGTTTTTTGCATTGAGCTATCACAAAGATGTGTTTGTGGGTATCTCACCCAACTGCACATTGTCTCTAGTCTATATGTATAGAGAGATTTGCAGAAGTAAGTGGGATGTAAAATGCATGAGTGTTTATTACACAGGCCATGAGATCTTTCTGAATGCTTTCTAAAGACCTTTTTTTTTTTTTTGAGAAAGAATCCTTTTTAGTATAAGAATGTCAAATCATGCTTTCATTCATTCGTTCGTTCGTTCATTCATTTTTTTGGAGAACATGCAAACCAGCCGAGGTTCAAACCAGCAACCTTCTTGCTGTGAGGTGACAGTGCTAGCCACTGAGCCACCATTTTAAATGTTTTAAATGTTCATAATATATTATCCCTTAGGTAATTTAGCTTTAAAAATAATTATAATAATGCCTTGATTGTAAGCATTTTTTATTTTTTTCAATATTATTATTTTTTTTATCTATTCTTACTGTCTGTTAAAAAAGTTTAAATATATTTGCAAAATCCTTACAACACTAATAATTATTTTGTTTGATAAACATAACCTGAACCCTTGTTGTTACTTTTACTTTATTGGGTATTTTGTAAAATGTAACATTGCTATGTCGGTACTTTCATTTAATTAATTTCTAGTGGCACTTTTAACTTCACTGCCACCCATAACCCAACTCTTTCCACAAAACCTAATTAATTATCTAGTTCATCCTAAGCCTGACTACACTGTATAAACATGCAGTATTCGTTTTTTACAAGTTTAAGAGCATTAAATAAAAAAAGAAAAGGTAATTTCACAGTAAATCCATAATCCTGCCAAGTATTTATGTACATTTTCCACTAAAAAGGAATGTATTTGCAGTTCATTAATTATCTTGCATGCCATCCATTACCTAATATATCCCATTTAATATACCTTCCAGTGCTACTGTCTAAATGAAAATCTGACATTTAAAGCAGTTTTACCCCTCAGTGAGGATTTTGTAGCTTCATTTGTTGCATTTCCATTTTTTGGTGTCACCAAATACCACAAGACGCAACAGCAGAAGTGCAGCAGCATTGCACATTTCCTGTCTGCAGCCTCCATCTTTCAAAACAAGCCTTCTTTTCTTGCTTCTGTCTCATTTGAGCAGATTTCATAGCTTTCCGCCCATTAAACTTATCCTTGCCAGGCAGTTGTAGTGTGTGGGTCGGGCAGAAATTAATTTGTTTGCTAAACGCCCTGATAAATTCTTCTTCCGCTCTGCTCGGGCTTAATGTTTGTGTCTCTTTCTGCTCAATGAGACATAGAGCTGCCATGCCGGAGCCCCGGGGATCTCAATGAATAAATGATCGAGCTTTTTTCATTCTTATTCTTTCGTCCCAGAAAGAGAAGGGAGAAACTCATTTTGCGTGTATTACGGGGGATGCAGCTAGTAGCTAAAAATACCTCGGACTGAATCTTTGTTGCTAAGGCTTGCTCAGCAACTGCGCTGGATGTCAAACCCTCTAGAAAACCCCCTCCGTGAGCACGCTTTGCTTTCTGTCACTGGAAACGATGGAGTATTTGGCATCATGTGCCCTGTCATCATTCTTTCTGCTTTATTTCTGTCTTTTTTTTCTAAGAAGGTCTGAGCTACCGAGGGCCAGTGGTATTGAGATAATATTTGGGAAAATTAGTTTTATTATTGCATGAATGTGATCAAAATGCTGTTCAAATTCCCTGATTCAAACCTGATTTTTCAGGCATTTTCTCAGTCACATAATCCTTTTGCATTTATGTGTTTATGTGCCTGTTGGTCAAAGATGGAAAAGGTTTTTTCAAGCATCAAAAAATAGCAATAATTTATTTACAAAAATATTATCAGGCATATTTAAGCCCAGAATACAAATCCACTGACATTTTAAATCTTTATACTTTACCCCTAGCTTTTTAACCACTAGACTTTCCCAATTTGTCAGCTATACGATCTTAAAATATAATAAAATGTAGTATAAGGCATTATTTGTGTATTAAGTACGTGTCAGAAATAGGTATGCTGTTTTATTTTTGAATAAATATGTGTTAGGTTAAAATACAATAGAATGTTTTCCACCCAACTGTATTTTTACCACATAAGATATCTGAAACATTGAAGTAGATCATTTGTTTGCATTTAATGTGCTTTCTCTATTTATAATATCACTTTTGTAAAATTTATTTCATGCATAGAGCAAAATGTGACGTATTGTGACATTCATGATATAAATTAATCACAATATTTCACATAATCGCACTATTAAAGTCATTGAATCAATTTGTTTTCAAATTATACAAAAAAATCACACATCCTTGGGGATTTGATTCATGAGAACATATAAAAGAAAGGTGTTTCTGCCTTTTGTTTATTGATAAATCATTATGGACCTGTATGTTCCTCAGAGGCCAAAAATGTCTTTGCATAGACTCATGAATTTGTTTAAAGACGTCTCAAGAGACATTAAAACTGTTACTGTCATCCTCTAAACACACACACACACACACACACACACACACACACACACACACACACACACACACACACACACACACACACACACACACACACACACACACACACACACACACACAAACAAACACACAAACACACAAACACACACTGACTGCACATCACTAGTCTCTTACACTCCTCAAATGATTTTGGTTCCCTTTTTTTCCACAATCATTTCTTAGCTTAGCCTAACTTTGTCACCAAGATTTTCAATCAGGTTTAGATCGGGAATCTGGTCTGCCATTTCATTATTTCAAAGTTTTCATCTTCAAAGAACCACTTTACCCATTTTTGCTGTGTGTCGGGGCTTATTGTCCTGCATGAAAATTGCTGGAAAATTTGTTTGACACACTTAGTATGTTTACATGGACACCAATAATATGATTTTAATATGATTAAACAATACTCTGATTAAGAGTCCACCATGTAAACAGCGATTTTTAATTCATTTAATCTAATTATATTCATAATCGAACTAAACAGAAACAGAATTAAGAAATGTGGAAAATGCCAATTTAAGTCTCATTATTAAAGTGCAGTACAGACTTGTAAACACCGCAATCAAACTATTACCGTCGTGTAGGATTTTCACCGCATTTTGTGACAGGATAGTCACACACGGTTGTTTGGCACTATTCTCTGCACCTACCGAGTCAGTGAAGGACCACAGACACCTGCATCGCGAAATGCAGAGGTTTTTTTTCTCCATACAGCATGCGGTATCAAATTCCATTAAAACTACACTCTTCCAGCTGTTCATACTCGCATCCACAATCTCGTTTGTCATAAGGGACATGAATGAAATGTTCCTGAATGAAAGTGAAAGTGCCAAACTGCAGTTAAAGTCAACAAATTACAAATGAAACACTTGAAATTACATGAAACTCAGAAGGAAACCTAGATAGCGTGGTGACACAATGCATTAATCGAATTATGTGCTGTAACATGTAAAACGGGATCATAAAAGGAACATTCAAAAAGCATCTCATGTAAACGCCTTAATCATATTATAGTCCTACTCAGATTATTGATTAATAATTCGATTACTGATTTCCATGTAAATGTAGTCACTGTATGCATAGACAGATACATGTGCTGTTCCACCTGCATTTATCATTATGAGGAGAATTATTCGAAATGAAAATGTTAATTTAGTCAACATTTAACAGTACATCAGCATATATATGACAGACTAAAAGTATTTTAAAGTAGTCTTTAGAGTATTGTGTGGAGAATCACTCATCATCCCAGGTGTTTCTCAGCATAAATCCAGCAGCTTGTAGTTTATCTGTAATGTAAGAGCCATACATCATAAAATGGCATCTTGTGAAGGCAGATAACAGCGTATCTTGTATAAGTGTTTCTAATCTCAGCAGTAGTCATCTGTACCATCCTCCTCTTGTCTGAGTGACATTCTGCTCTATTCATTGGTTTTGCGTATTGTTTTTAGCCTGCTCCATTGTTATGAAAAAATTGTGTTAATGTTTAAAGTTGGGATTTGTGCATATATTTTCATTTTATGTATATAATTGAATTCAGGTATTTATTATACATTCATTATTGCCACAAAAATACTATAGCAAACATTAATAGACTATTATATAAAGTACATATCATCAATAGCAATGCAATGTGTCAGGGCATGTGTATTATCAGTTTCTTTAACCGTTTTTTTATCTTGGTTTCAGAATGTCACAAAAGAGGAAGAGGAAGACAAGCCTATATCTCTCACAGAAGAAGAGATTAAAGCAAAAATAGACGACTACAACTCCAAAGTGACGGAGAATGGGATGAAATTAGTGAGTATATTTGCCAACAAAGCATCAAAGTGTTGTAATTTGAGAATTTTTCTGACTCAAGTGGCTTTTGTGATCCTCTAGAACCCAGACGGCACATACACTGGTTTCATCAAGGTTCATTTGAGGTTGCGCAGGCCTGTGACTGTACTTTTTGTGGATGGGAAGTTACCAGGTCCGTGTTCCTCATCTGATGATTCGGATAACCGCACGTCCTTCTACCTGCCCGCCGATGCCGTCAAACAGCTCCACATCAGCAGCACCACCACGGTCAGAGAGGTCATTCAGGGCCTGCTGAAGAAGTTCATGGTACAGGACAATCCACGCAAGTTTGCCCTCTGCCGCCTGACCCGCCGGGACAGTCAGGGTGAGTGCTCAGATGAAGATGAAACACACTTTCGTTTCATTTAGCATATGTGGTAATAATGTGTTGTTTGCTGGTTTTTTCAGATCTTTTCCAGAAGTTGCCCTTATCAGACTGCCCGCTCTACTTGAGACTGTTAGCCGGTCCAGATCTAGACAATCTGAGTTTTGTACTCAAGGAAAATGAGACTGGAGAGGTGGAGGTGAGCTTTTCTGTTCTGTCTAAATATAGACACTTTAATAAACGTTAGTAATGCATAATGTTATTATGAAACAATCTTTGTAATGTGTATTTTAAAGAGTGAGAATTGATAATTCCACTGTTTATATTTGTTCTTTTGTCAGTGACCTGATTCTTCCTTTGCCACTTAAACACTACAGAAATATATTTAAACCTTTTCATGCATTGAATGTTGAAGCTATCATTGTAAAAAACAAATATGTAAATACATTGCTATAAAATACACAAACGTGTGTGTGCAATAAGTGATCAGTTACACATTTTGTTTAGTTGACTAAAAAAGGAATAAGTTGACTTGAGAAAATCCTTGATACTCTTTGAAAATATATGAGTAAACCCATCGTGTCTATGTATATATATGTATTTTAAAAACAATTATATGTGTTTATTGTTATTGTTAGACAGGTAAACAAAAAAATAAATCTTCTTTTATCTCACACCTATTTTGATCCGTTGTTGTCACTAAAATTTTACAGACCAAAATAAATAAATAAATATATACATAAATAAACACATAAATATATAAAATATTTACAAAGCAAAATAAATAAATAAATAAATACAGTTGAAGTCAGAATTATTAGCCCTCCTTTGATTTTGTTCTTTTTAAAAATGTTTTACAAATTATGTTTAATAGAGCAAGGAAATTGTTTTGTCTTCTGGAGAAAGTCTTATTTGTTTTATTTAGGGTAGATTAAAAGCAGTTTTTATTTTTTAAACACCATTTTAAGGTCAAATTTATTAGCCCCTTTAAGTATACATATAGTTTGTCTGTCTGTCTGTCTGTCCATCTGTCTGTCCGTCCGTCCGTCCTTCCGTCTTTCTGTTTATCTATATATTACAAAGAAAAATAAATAAATAAATACGTAAATAAACATGTAAATATACAAGTATTATTTTAATGTTGTTTATTTAATCTGCTTAATTTTTCTATTGACATTTTTTAATGATTCATGTATATAATTATATTCTGATTTCTAATATTAGTTTATTATGATCATTATTATATACATTAGCTTATTACATATAAATTCTACAAAAAATAATGAATAGCTTCTATTAAATATAAATCGGTTAGCAAAGCACAAACTTCATTTTTTTCCCTACATTCAGCTTCACTAATGTTAAATGTGCTTTCAGTGGCATGCGTTCTCAGTACCGGAGCTGCAGAACTTCCTGATCATCCTGGAGAAGGAGGAGAAGGAACGCATGCGGCAGGTGGAGCAGCGCTACTCCACTTACAGAGAGAAACTCCTACAGGCTCTGGGTGAGGTGGAGAGCAAACCAGGCTAATGGAGGACAACCAAACTGAGCCAACAGACGCCCAGCAGACCAACTCACAACACCTCCACTCAGGACTTATTCCAGCACGACTCAGTGACCTTTAACCCTCAAAGACGGGGGAAGCGATGGAGACGTGAACAAGACTAAGAAGAGGAGGTTGGAGCTAAAGAAGAATTCCTTCTCTCCTGGAAAACATGGCACACTGTTGAAAGCCCAGACGTTTGTTTCTGGTAGTCAAGCTTTTTGATATTCCATTGGGTTTCATTAGTTGTTTTTACATTCAATTCCGTCCATTTGTGTTTTCTTTTTATTATATGCTGCTGCTGTTGCTGCTACTGCAAGTGTTACTTAAAGCATGACTTTCCCTAGGGTCTCTCAGCTTGTGTCTATACTGCATGTACTCTATCAGGGAATATCTGAATGAAAGAGCGCTGGGAAAATAAAAAACAGCACTTCCGATCCAGAAAGGAAGTGGACAGACTTACTGTATAGAAAATATGATGCCTGTGAGATATCGGAGGACAAATAACCTTATCCAAATATCAAATTACAAACTTTATAACTGATTATTATAACATGCTACTCTACAAACAAAAAGGATTATTCTATTTGTACTGGAGGTTGTCTTAATATAGCTATAAATGTACTCTATTGCTGATAATGTTTCACCAGACTGTTCAATATTTCACCCCACAATCTCCATTCAAAGGATCAAAACAGTTTCTATCATTCTATTCTGGCCTTTATTTGGCCAGATTTTACACATAAACGTAGAAATGTACGATATAACTCGCAGCCTTTCTGATATAATCCTTTTTTTTTATAAGATATCATTTTCTCCACCTTTTTCCATCAGAATTATGAATGAATTCATGAAGATTCTAATTTAATTTCTTATCATTTTGAGTTTATATATTGACAATTCTACTTTTATTGTCACAATTGAAAGTTTATAGGCTTTATATCTCTAGTTTAACTCAAAATTGTGAGATATGAGCTCAAAATGATCTGAGATTTACTTAGAATTACTTGATGTTAACATAAAATTGTGAAAAACAACCCAGAATTTTAAAAAAGAAGGCCCAACATCCGTTTACCATATCTACACAGCAAACAATTCTGTGTCTAATAGACATCTAAATGTAGACAGCTTTGCTACAACAAGGATAAACTTGGGCTGTCAGTAAAAATCGATATAGATATTATAGACATATAGATAAAAGACATCTAAGAATAACCCAAAACTAGACTAGTTGTCAAATAAACTGACTTTATAAGTGTATTGATTCATTTATGTCTATTTGATGACTTGTCTAGTTTTGGCCTATTCTTAGACGTCTTATATATATTAACAGACAGCCCAAACTTAGCCTTGTTTTAGCTAAGATGACTATGTTTAGACATCTATTAGACATCTTTTAAAATGAAAAAGTGCTTGCTGGATATAAAGAGCTATTTTAAAATGCCTAAAGCCTTCATGGACACAGCTACTCTTTAAAAAAAAAAAGCCCCATCTCACATTTAGGTGTCCCATGAAAACTTGTGTAAACCCTCGGCATTGAGCGATCAGCTCAGTCTCTCAGGCGGATCTCTGCTTTTTGAGGATTGTGGTTGTGTTTATCCGGTGAGCTTTTCTCAGTCGCTTCAGCTTTTATCATGTAATACACAAGGTCATGTCTGATTAGGATGAGCTCAGCTGAAACAAACCTTGAGGATTTCAGTCTGTGTTACACCAAAGGAAAACAGAAAGTTCTCTATATTGTGACTATGACTTAAAGCTTTTACAAGGCAGTGCAGACATTATCATACAGAAGCTTGTTTTTTTACAAAGTAAAAAACAAAAAATTGTGAATTTGTAAATTGTTAACTTCTCAGAATTGCAGAATTGACCCGTATCCATCGAAGCGTTATTGTGCAGCTGAAAATGCTAGAGCTCTTCTAACAACGCTTTATTTATTTTGGAGGGTTGTTTTCTGACACAAAGTAAAAAGTAAAAAAAAAAAAAAAAGGTGAATCTGTAAATAGTTTCTATCTGAACTTCTCAGATGGTGAACTTCATTCTGCTGTGGCGACCTCTGATTAATAAAGGGACTAAGCCGAAAAGAAAATAAATGAATAAATGAACTTCTCAGAATTGCAGATTTTTATGAGCTACAATGACACGTATCCCTTAAAGAGTTATTGTGCAGCTGAAAATGCCAGAGCTCTTCCAAAAACGCTCAGCTGTAAGAGCTTTTTCAACTCTGAGCATTTCACAAATGCGGCTTTTCCATTGACAACAACTGAAAAGTTACGCTCAACTTGGAAAAAACAGCTTTGGTGGACTGAGCGCCCCACTGAAAAAAATTCTGCAAATTGTTGTAAACAGTTTTTATGTGTTCAAATTAAACAAAAAATTAAATTTAGTAATGTTCTACTTAATTTATTTGTTTCAATCCAGCTCAAATAAATAGTTTACAGTTTTCTTTTCTTTTTTTTCAGTGTAACTGCTTGTTTCCGCTTTGGGGGAATCAAAAGTAAAATTGTAATTGCAACTTTTTAATCACACTATTGTCTGAATTTCTAGCACTTTCTTGCAATTGTAAACTGCAGAATGCAAATTTGCATCTTACAGTACAAGATTTCAGGACAACTTGTGATTCAAACTCAATTTCCTCACAATTGTGAGATATAAACTCAAAACTTCAGGGTATAAACTCAGTGAGATATAAACTCAGAACTGCAAAATCTAAACTCAAAATTGCAAATAAAAAACTCAGACTTGTGAAATGTGCCTAGAATTCTGACATTTTGGAATTGTGAGGGAAAAGTTGCAATTACCTTTATTTATATAAACATATAACTTGTGGTGGAAATGGGCTTTCATATCTCCATGCCAATATAGACTGGGGATTTGCACACCAACACAGGCCACTGAGTGGTCCATTTTTTTTCATATCCATAATATGCATTCAAAGGGATTTTTGTATGTGCATTCTTCTGTTTAGCTCTGAGGTGCATGTGAACTGAATGTGTCTGTGACACAGGGAATTCAATTACATACGAAGATCATTAATAAGCACTGAAGTGTTGTTCCACAGTAATCTGGAATAACTGAAAACTCAGCTTGATGTTTTAGGCACTGATGAATCATTTCTCATCTCTCTTTCAAACACATTTAAGGCAAGACACTACAGGTGAACCCTGTTATTGTTGTTGATGATGTTTTTTAGGTTATTTGGCCTTTCATAGAGTATTTTATTATGAGTAATGTACAGAAAACACACAAAATACACCTTTGTGTTTTTTTTCTCGCACTTTATCAATTGTGTTTGTAGATTTAAATGATATATATATTGCAGCTAAAGGTTTCTCCAAATTAGTCTTTTATGAATCTCCATTTCAGAAGCACTTACACCAAAATTCAGAAATTCAAACAGTTTTATTGATATTTTTGAGGGTTTTTACAGAGGGATTTGTTCATGCTAATTGTGTCTGTTCAAATAAAAACTGTTATTCTTCAAATAAAGATTTCTTTTGTCTCTTCACAGTATTTTATGAATTACAGAGTGATAAAAGGTGATGATATATATATATATATAATAATTTAATGAAATAATGTCTCGTTTGTATATTTAAACATAAATCATCTTGTTCAAAATTATGTAATACAAAAAAAGTAGACTATTCTTAAAGTAATCAATCCGTTACCTTTTTTGTTTGTCTATTGTCCTGCAGTGTCTTGCCTTAAGTCCCGATCCATAAAACAATTTCACAGAATTTCAATAAAAAAGCAAGCAGTTTCTGGAACATGTATGTTTGTAGATATGGCACTTTAGAGTCCTGAATCTCCATATGGATCAGTCTGCCTGTTTAGCTCTCAAACGGGCAGACATTCACTCTTCAGCGAGCGGCAGGGGCCTCGTATGTTCTATTCCTGCTGCCAGTGCCTTTAGTCTCCGTGTAGCTTCTTTTGACTGTGTACTGTACATATATATGCTCTATATGTCTGGCCCTATAAACACACACGTTCAGTGGCAGTAGCCTGGTGCTTTCAATGTCAGAGCCATTGAGTCTGTGTGGGACTTTTTTGGGACTAGTGTTTAAAATAATGAAGTGTGTGTGTGTGTGTGCGCGCGTTTGTTTAATTTATTTTTTTTGGTTCAATTTAAAGTGTGAAAACTTGAATATGTGGACAAATCAGTACTATCAGGCAATCTTTTTTTTCAGAGTATCAAATGTTTAAAATGTCTATAAAGCTGTAAATATGAAGAATGAAATAAAGGGTTATCCTTTCGTGATGATGATGATGAGTGGTTTTATTTATTGTGATGAGTGAGGCAGCTAACTTGGACTGTTAATCATTTTGGTTAACATTACAGGCCCGTAGCCTGCCTGGTAAAAGACGGGGTTCTTTTTGCTCAAAAAGTGGATCCTTTTGCAGTCATACGCCTCATTTTCTATTCAATTATGAGGTTTAAACACTGCATTTTAGTCACATTTTTAAGCACAACTTTTAGCTGAATTAAATTGTTGTATGGTCATCATAACCACAGTTTAAATGTATTAAAAATATTTCTTAAAGGTTTACAATAAAGAAATATGAAAAGACTTGTTTATATAAATACAAATTTATTACATCGTATATCCGTGGTGGAAAGAGTACTGAAAAATCATAAGTAAAAGTACCATTACTTGCCTAAAAATGTAGTGCAAGTAGAGTAAAAGTATCTGTTTTATATTTTACTCAAAGTATGAGTAAAAAGTAGCCTTTACAAAAGTACTCAAGAGTAGTGAGTATTACGCTGTGACAAAACTGATGGGTTTACATTAATTTGTGCATGTGTGTGTAAACGTAACATTCTGTAGTGCATCTAGTGATTGCCCAAGCAGGCACACAACATCATAAGACGTTAATATTAGGATAGATTTATGTTGTGACCAAAATAGATTTAGGTGACCAAAATTCAATGGCTAGCCAGCGTCTAAGGACGTAATTGTGGTCAAATAATGACGTCAAATGACATTGATTTTAGGTTGTGTTGGAAAGTGACCAAAATCCAACATTGAGCCAACACCTTAATCCAACGTCATATTGATGTCAAATATTAACATTTATTCATCAGGTACGACAATAAAAATCCAACATCTGATAGACGTCATAGTGGTAACATCCACACAGTGTCAAGCTTTAACATCATTAGATGTTGATGTTTGGTTGATTTGCAGTTGAACGTTGGACATTGATGGCGCCTGACGTTCTTGGACACTTTTAATGCTTCCAAGCAGTTTTCTGCAATTATAAATCGCCCATGTCTAGAGGTAGTTTATTATGATGCGACTTAACTTCTATATGTGATTTGATCGGACAGGAATCACAGTACTGATTTTTCTAATCCCCATAGATGAGAAAAAAATCAAGTAGTGACTGCAGGTTGAAGTAGTGGAATAAAAGTACCGATACAGCTCCAAAATGTACTCAAGGGAAGTAAAAGTACACATTTATAAAACTACTTAGTAAATTACAATTCCCGAAAAAAACTACTCAATTACAGTCATTTGAGTATTTGTAATTAGTTACTTTACACCACTGCTTATATAAATACAAATCTGTTAAAGTCTGTGGCCTATTGTCGTTTATTATGCAAGTAACAAACTGGCCAGAGTTCAGTCAGAATGTGGAAATTTGAATGATAAACTTAATAATTATTATAATAATTTGAAAACTTTAATAAACAACAACAATAATAATATTAAAGTAGAGATTCACGATATTTTAGCCTCTCATAAAAAAGTAGATTAGAAAATTGGATAACAACAACAACAGCCATATTGTTCAAATGAATTTTAATATGGTCCGTTATTCGCAACTTTTTATTAGCATTTTTTTTGTTTTACAGTTTTTCTCAATTTCTTTGGCTCAATTCTTGATTGAAGCTTTTATTTTTCAAAACAATAAGTTTAGATCTCTGAACAATTAGCTTATTGTTCACATCAGATTGGCATTTCTTATTGATTTGAGTAAATTTTAAATGCTTTGGTTTTCAATTGCTTTAGTTTGGACAAAAACTACTCGCATATGGCTTGTTGATCAGAACTGATAAGTCGATTCTCATTTAAACTCTTCACAACTTGTCAATCATTTTTTAATCATGTAAGCCATCATAACAATTTATTCAGTTATCAAACATTTGTATATTTACACCATAAATATCTGATATTGACATTGTTTGTAATGTCTGGTATATTGGTAAATGACCTCTAACTGCTATACAGTTTGCATCATCTATTTAATCAATCAAGTCTGGTATCATATATACAGTTAAAATCAGAATTATTAGCCCGACTCTGAATATTTTCTTTTTTAAATACTTGCCAAATGATGTTTAACAAACTCAGGAAATTTTCACAGTATGTCTGATAATGTTTTTTGTCTTCTGGAGAAAGTCCTATTTGTTTTATTTCAGCTAGAATAAAACCAGTTTTTAATAATAAAAAAAAAACATTTTAAGGTCAAATTATTAGTACCTTTAAGCTATTTTTTTTCAAAAATCTACAAAACAAACCATCGTTATACAATAACTTGCCTTATTACCCTAACCTGCCTAGTTAACCTAATTAACCTAGTTAAGCCTTTAAATGTCACTGTAAGCTGTATAGAAGTGCCTTGAAAAATATTTGGTAAAATATGATTTACTGTCATCATGTCAAAGATAAAATAAATCAATTATTAGAGATGAGTTATTAAAACTATTATGTTTAGAAATGTGTTGAAAAATCTCTTCGTTAAACAGAAATTGGGGGGGGGGGGGATAAAAAGGGGCGCTAATAATTCTGACTTCAACTGTATATGTAGATTGCCCAGCAAAATGGCCACCTTTTAACCCAGCAGCAACATGCTCCTGGAAGAGCAGTTGGAAGACGTGTAATCTCTGATGAGGCCACAAAGAGTGACAGGATGTCCACCAAGAATACTTTTTTCATGGATGTTATTTTGTAGTATTTTTGTGTATTTGTGGTCACATGCAAATAATGGTACAATACAGTAACTGGACAAACAAGATTACATGTATTCGTAAAAATAAATGCACTGTATACATACAAATGTTTATTTTTATTATTTGTTTTTATTTTTTATTTTACTTGTTTCTTTTATTCTTGTTTATGTAAAGCACTTTGAATTGCCATTGTGTATGAAATGTGCTATATAAATAAACTTGCCTTGCCTTGCCTTAAGCTGAAAAGAAAATTAATGAATGAATGAAAAAACAATCATTTCAAATTCATAACTCATTTTTTAAACAATTATTTATTTAAACTAGAGGAAATTAGGAAATTAATATAACCAAATTTTGGTTATCATTACAAAATAAATACATCTGTTTATAAATATAAAGTTCATAATTTTTGGGGTGGAGAAAATCAGTTTAGAAATATGTTTTTTTTTTTTTTAAACTGGTACACTATTTATAGCCGTTTAACTCAATGTTTTAGATGCAATGCTACAACTGTGTAGTATCACAGATAACCAGCAGATGGAAGCCTATAATCATGTTCTCCAAATGTAACCAGTTTCGCTTCATGTGGGAAACGCTGTTTTTAAAATGATTTATAAGCTCTAAAAAGAAATTTTGCGTTAGTTTTGAAAACACATATAGTAGTGTGTAGTACCAGCACAAACAGCAAGACTCGAAGTCAGTTTTACTAAAGTACAACGATGTTACCAAAACTGGTTATGTGTCTAAAACAAATAATAGCAGAGTCAAAGGTCAGAGCCGCACGTGCTCACTGAGCATGTTTGTGTACGTTCACACCGCATAACCAGTAAAACACGATCCAATTTGAACATTTGCACATTAAGGTCAGATGTGGTGTAGGCATATATGGAAAAAATCTTTTTTTAGCGTTTGAGTTTTGATGTTTAGATTTTTTGGGAGTGTTAAAGTGTTTACAGTATTCTTTTGAAAAATGTTAAACTATAATTGTCATTTTTTACATTATCAGTTCATCTCTGCTCCACTTCAGCAGCAAAAACCAGGTTTCACAGTTTTCTTCATATCTGGATTGATGGTTTTACAGAAGGGTTGTTCATAATTTGATAAATTATTAACATCCTTATTTCTAGCTACACAGTGTAAAAAAATATCATGCAAATATTCATGAAAACACATCTTTTATTTTATATTTATGTAATTTAACTTAAAAAGAATAAAGATTAACTTGTGTTTTTTTTATGCAAAGATTTTTTTTTATTCAGTTTGAAGGATTTCTATGTGACCAAATAAGTTTGAGCTAAAAAAGAAAACAGGCAGCAAGATTTTTTTCATTTTTTTTATAAAGCAGTAAAATGAGAGAAACGTTGATTACAGGGAAAATTAAACAAATTTGTATTCAACTTCATACAATCTCACTGTAGAAAATGATGTGATCATCAATTATGACAGTAAAAAATGATATGATCAATTAGTCCTGACAGCATATGTTTTTAGGTGCTAGTAACTTATTGACCTAAGTTAATCATGTTCTAACCTAATTTTTTAAGCTAAGCAAACTGCTTAAAGTCAGTTTAACATCACATAAGTTCAATGGACTCATAAAATAATTTGATTCAGTTTAAAATTTTAGGTCAGCAGGATTTTTTCAGTGCTTAAGACTTCCTTACTAGAAATCTCTGCAAATTAGTGGATATTGATAGTGGCTTGAGAAAGTCAACATACTGCACTCATAAACTTCTTCCTACTTCTTCCTTCTTCTTCTTAGACTATTTTAAGAACACATCTCCTGCTAGACCGCTCATACTACAACCACCAAACTAACTCTAAACCTCCAAACTATACTGAATGAAGTTGCTCTATCTTTTCCAACTGATCCAATCTGCCAATTACTGATGACCTTTCAACCACTCAGAACACCCTAGCAAATGCCTAGCAACCGCTCAGAACACCCTAGCAACACCTTGGCAATGACCTAAAACACCTTAGCAACCACCTAGCAACACATTAGCAACCACCTAGCAATGCCTTAGCAATTGCTTAGCAACCAATCAGAACACCCTAGCAACCACTTAGCAACTGCCTAGCAACACCTTAGCAACCACAGCAATGCCTTAGCAACCACTCAGAACACCCTAGCAACCACCTAGCAACACCTTAGCAACCACCTAGCAATGCCTTAGTAACTACTTAGCAACCACTCAGAACACCTTAGCAACCACATAGCAACACCTTAGTAACCACTCAGAATACCCTAACAAAACCTTAGCAATCATTCAGAACACCCTAGCAACCAATCAGAACACCTTAGCAAC